TTGGCCAGTCTGGCTATGATGTGCCTTGGAGAAGATCTTCTTGGGTTGATTCTATTAGGGGTCCTTTGTATTTCTTGGATCTGGAAATTTGAAAGCCTCTCTAGATTTGGAAAGTTTTCTTCCAAGATTTCATGGAATAGATTATCAATGCCCTTATTAGTTTCCTTAACTTCTGGGATACCAATTGTCCAGATGTTTGGGTGCTTAATGCTGTCTAGTATTTTTCGTTATAGTATTCCCATTTTGGGGGTTATTTTCGTAGTTTTTTTGGGTCGTTTTTTCTAGATGAGAGGTTTTGCCTTCCACATCTGAGATTTTATTTTCTGCATGGACTAATCTGCTTTTAATACTTTCGAGGGAAGTTTTGATTTCCTGAATGGCATCCTTCATATGTAACAGCTCCATTTGATTCTTTTTTTATGGTGTGTATCTCCTCATTTCCTCTTTCAGATCATGGAAGAACTTCAACACCTCCTGGAACTTGTTGTCTCTTTCCTCCTGAATCTTCTGGAGTTTATTATCTCTCAGCTCTTGCATCTCATTTAGCTTTGTCACTATGAATATTCTGAATTCTCTATCAGACATTTCCATGAGATCTACTGTACTGTCTGTGGATGATGAAGGATTGTTCTTTACCCTTAGGAGGAAGATATTTTCTTGATTTCTCATGTTTCTTGTGCCTCTGAGGTTGTTTCTGGACATGCTGTGACAAAATGTATCCTCCACTGTGCTTCATAATGTGTATCTGCAGGAGGCTCAATAAGCGATGAGGATTTCAGTGACCCTAAGAGTATTCAGATGCTTGGCTCCTGTGCACCTAGGCCTATCTAGATATTCAGTGTGTGAAGAGTGAAGCTTAGAGTGGGAAAGTAAGGTTAAAAAAATAAGCAAAAAGGAAAAAAAAAAACTAGAAAAATACTACCAACAAAGAGGAAAGAAAAAAATATTTTTTACATATAAAAAAAATGAAGCACGCCAGGACACACCTCAGCTTTAAAATGGCTTCTAGAATTAGCAAGTGAAAGACCCAAGGTAAGGAGAAGTGGTTGAAAATTTTTTTAAAAATTAAAATTTAAAGAGAAAGAGAGTGCAAGACAGACATATAGACAGACAGTCAGAGATAGAGAAAAGACGGAGGTTGCCCTACCTTGTCTGAGTATTTCAGGAGTCTAGGATATGGAGTTTAGAGCATAGCTTCCCTGAACATGCTAGGACATAACCTCAGTTTTAAAATGGCTTCTGGAATTAGCAAGTGAAAGAAAAGGCCCAAGGTAAGGAGAAGTGGTTTAAAAATTTAAAAAAAAATTAAAATTTAAAGAGAAAGAGAATGCAAGACAGACAGAGAGACAGATAGCCAGAGACAGAGAAAAGACGGAGGCCGCCCTACCTTGTCTGAGTATTTCAGGAGTCTAGGAGATGGAGTTTAGAACATAGCTTCCCTGAACCCACCAAGAGACCTCAGCTTTAAAATGGCTTCTTGTCTGAGTATTTTGGGAGTCTCCTGTATGTTCTTCAAACCGTGTTGGTGAAAAAGGCAACTTAGATGAGGAGTCATGTGATAGCAAATACAAAGGGAGGTTTGGGTCCCCTCAACACCCTCCCATGTCTCAGGATTTATAATAAATACATCACATAATATTAACTGCTGAATTTGTTCATTAGTTATAACAGTTACTTTCTGTGGGATGGTTGGGGTCTTTTATAAGATGCATGTCACCCACAAACAGATTATTTTACTTCTTCCTTTGCTATTTAGATTGTTTTTTTTCCCCCTTAGTTGCTCTGGATAGTTCTTCCAATACTACGGTGATTAATCGCTTTAAGAATTGACATCTGGGACCAGCTGGTGGTGTGGTGGTTAGGATGCTGGACATTCCCACATGGCTGACTAGGGTTTGAGTCCTGGACCTGCTGGCTTGCTTTCTCACTTTCTCTCTCTCTCTCTGGTCAAAATAAAATAAGTAAATGAATAAATAAAATTAAGAATCATTAAAAAAAAAAAAAGAATTCACATCTTTGGGGACCAGCAGATGGCATAATGGTTACGTTGCTGGACTCCCACATAGTCAACCACAGTTCGAGTCTCAGACCTGGTGGCTTCAAACTCACGCTGGGTACATGTGTGTGTATGCCCAACATCCCAAGAGGAGACTGGAGGAGAAGGGATTGTGGCATGGCTATCTCTCCTGAGGGGTGATTTCTCACTTTCTGTCTCTCTGACTCTGTCTGGCGAGCACACATGGTCTATAGCAAAAATTTCACTCTAATCAAAAAAAAAAAAGAATTGACATCTTTGACTTATTCTTGATAGTAAGGCAAAGCTTTTAGTCTTTCACCACTGAGTGATGTTAGTTGTGAGTTTTTCATAATGGCCTTTATTATACTGAGTAGACCCCTTGTATTCCTGATTGGTTGAGTGTTCTTCTATCACAAAAAGATATTGAATCTTGCCCAATGCGTTTTCTGTATTATTCCGTTAATGCGGTGCATTACATTCATTGATTTTAATATGTTGGACCATCTTTGCATTCTAAGTATGAACCGCACTTTTTCATGGTTTGAAATCTTTAAATGTGTGGTTGAATTTGGCAGGTATTTTGGCAGAAGATTTTTGCATCAATAGTCACTGGTTGTATTTATCTGTAGTTTTCTTTCTGGCTTTTCAAAATCTTTTTTCATTTTTTTTATTGCAATGTCTGTCTGTCTTTGGCAAATGATAAGGTTGACCTCAAAAAATGACCTTCAAAGTGTTCCAGCTATCGTTTGTCATTGTCCCATATGCCTATCCTTTGACCTCACTCAACTCTTGTCCCAACAATGCCCTTTCTTTTGGGTTATCTGTGCTCCCTGATGACTTGCTGCTCTCCATGTTCTTTCCTTAGCTCCTTCACCCCCCATGACGTCCTGTCTCTCTGTCACACTTAACTGGCAGATTGCCCTTCCTGGGCGTGTCCTATGGCAGGGAATGCTATTTGCTTACTTCAGTTGGGAAGCTTGGGGAGAGCTCCTGGATCACTCACCTTTCCCTCTCTTCCACCTCAGAAAGAGCATCAGTCCCAAAAAGGCGACTTTGAGCACCAGGCAGGCCATTTGCAGCCAGATGGCAGTCCCCAGACTCAGGGGCCCACATCCTGAGTTCCTTTTGCCTTCTATGGTGGCTGTAATGGCAGTGGAGGCTATGCTGGAGGGACTCCTGGTAGTGGTCTTGACAGCTGGGGAGAGATGAGAAATAAGATTTTTTACCAAAGGAATGTGGGTGTCCCCTGGCTACCAGTACTGCTTCTTGTTCCTTAGTTTGGGGCAATAATAGGAGTAGGGGACAGGTCTCAGAAGCTCACATGGGGAGGAGAGTAAAAAGGTAAAAGGTTAAAGGCTTCAAGTCCAGACAAGTTAGAGTCGGCAGGTGGCACGACGTTTGCCGTGCTGAACTCTCACATGGCTGACTGCAC